AAGAAACCCCCAGTGCGGATCGTGTGGATCTCCTACAAAGGGGTTTCTTCGATGCCACCAGCCGCGCCTGGCACTGCACGGGGCGGCTGCGGCGACCTGGGCCCCCCAGCGGAGTGGCGACACCGTGGAGGGCGGCTGCCGCCCCGAGTCGGGAAGACGACATGTTTTTTCTTCAGAAAAACAGTGAGATTCAGTGGCGATGATCTCCACTTCCATGAAACAGTGAGAGCATATATCCCGAAAGCACCGATCTACTTCCTCGACTTCTGAATATGCGGTCTTCAATCGTCTCACCTAGTACCCACAAATCAGACTATGATCATTCTGCGCTGTGGGTCCAAAAAGAAGGGTCGCTTTTTTTGGAGATGTGTGGCCTCACATCCATGGCCCCTTGATGTACAATATATATTATATGGTTGAACAAATATATATCCGAATATATCCGAAAGATTGTGATTTGGTGGATGTCTTTCACTCAAACAAACGGCCCAGATCAGTCTTTGACCTATTATCCCAGCCGCCTTCCTCCTGCTGCAAACCACTGCATCAAACTGACCTTCCACCCAGGCGAATTTATAGAAGCACCGGAAACTTACCAATTGAAACACCTGTGAGCTAAGAAACAAAGTCACTCCCATTCACTTGCGCTCATTCTTTATATAGTTCTCCTTTCTGCCAGGGATCCGAAACGAGAGGAGACTCCCAGATCGATCGACTTCTTTTCACGAGCGGTCACAAAGGGCTGGCGCGGTCTGTCCTGCTGAGTTCGCCGCCAAAGGTCCTCCCCGCCCAGGGCCGCCTGCGTGCTGAATCGGCTGTGAATAGCAGATTGGAGACACGATGAGACACGTCTGTGAGAGCAGATTGGAGGGAAAAGAGGCCCATGGCAACTCGGTCATGTCTAGTCCCTAGTCCATATATGTTATGAGTGACGTTTAAACTGAGACACTTACAACTTGCTTGAAGTGGTCTCCGCACTACATCTCTTCGACTATCCATACCCAGTGTACATGGGTAAAATCTTGGTAGTTGTGAATTGAACAAATGTACACTAATTATATATTTTTTTATTTAGATCAAAATACCCTTGCACTATGTTGGTCACAAGTCCGAAAAGTCCTGGGGCCCTACCCAGTTACAAAAGAGGGCTAGCTTGGCCACAGAAGTTCGATGAAGGCGGCGCGAAGACCAAATCCGCTGGCTGAACGGGGTGCGGGTTTGAAGGTTTGAAGACTGCAAACCTGACCTGCAGGTATTTGCGCAGCTCCACGGCCGGTTCTGAGAAGATCTCCATTTCATCAATGGCTCTTGTGCCTGGCAAAGCAACCAAAATCGACGAGGTTTTTGGGTGTCGGAAAGAAGTGGACACACCTGCAGGAAAAAAGAATAAGAAATGATACACAAATCAAGCCTCAAACAAGAGGAGCCTTAAGAGGAGCCTTCGATGATCAAGTCTTTGTGACTATATAATTCAGCCTACACTTTGGGAGTTGACCACCAAAGAGGAAGTAATTAGGACTCTGTACCACCCGGCACACAAGGCTTTCTGTTGCTGTCCTATTTTGATCATATCCATATTATGGCTCGTGATGATTACCATTCATCGTTGATCTATGATCTCTCACTTCACTCATGATATGGTTACATTTGGCCGCTTGGCCAGCTAGGGCCCCAGCAAAAGCTGGGCACGAGATCCATGATGCCCGAGCAGTCCTCATTTTCTGGGGACGACTCGTTCCTCATCCAGCTTAGCCGAGAGTGACCCACCAGCTTCGCCGTGGCTTCGCAGCGGTATTTATTCTCTCACTAGGTGTGAATGCACCTTGTTCCTAGTAGCGATGCCCTTTGTTAGTAGTAGCGATGCCCTTGCTACTAGTAGCATCCTTGTACCTAGCCATTTTATCTCTCACTCGCAACACATCATATCCACCGATGTCCAACCAATGTCCACCGCGATGTCCATGTCATTAGGAGTCATTAGGGCCGTTCAGCTGTGAATCAACAGAATCGACTCGTGAGCACGTCCTCTGGCGGTGCTCGAGGCATCCCAGCCCACAGAAGCCCTCAAAACGGGTTGTCATCTGCGACTCCTACAACCACAAGTATAGTCTAGTATATTTGGTATTATTTGGTAAATTCATTGTGTCGCAAGGTGGGTATGCTTGGCTATGGCGGCTATGGGGTATCAAATACTGCAAGTATGTTGGGTATATATAACATTTTTGGTGCAAGGTGTGTGTAGTCGGAGGCAACAAATCAGATTCCAGGAACAAATAAATGGCAAAGAAACTACTCTGATTCTCTTCCTACTAGCTCACATATGCCCCAAAAAGAAATCTCAAGGACAATTCAGCCTGCGATTGTCGAGGGGTCTATGCAGTGTCTATGGCGCCGGTGAATATCACTCGTGCAGGAAGCTATGTTTCAGATCTACCACTACCACCAATACCAATGTATGTAGTGCAGATCGGAAAGGGACCCCAAATGAGTGACCCATTTGGAAGTGCTGCCAATATGGGTGAGTAATTACTCAATAAGTGCTGCAAAATTAGTGCGCTTCCGCAGCGCAGCGATTCTTCTCTCTAACGTTCAGCCTAAAGGATCTGGAGGCTGCGGTGGCTCTTCGGGCGAACCTTGCGAGCGTCTACAGGGATCGTCAATGAGTGGGGATACAGGGTATCAAAATCAGATGTAGAGTTGTGAGATTGAGATTGACATATCTTGATTATGGATCTGTCTACATGTAGGCCGGCCATTAGCAAAAACATGATGCACGTGACTACATTAATTGATTTTGACATACTTTGACCATTTCAGAGTTCATAAGGCCCCAGTCAGCCCCGCTGTGCGGTGCATTTAAGTTGAAGTCATTGCTGAGCAGATGTACACGTATCATCAGACCTTATCACTAATGAGAACAACATGCTTTGACCGCATCTTGTAAGCGACTCAATCAGGTGACATCTTCGGACCGGTCCCGATTCCCCATGTTGTCGTTGACGAGGAATCGCTTGTGGCTGATTGAGGCCAGTGAAACCAATGACGTGGCTTCAAGTCAGCTCGTGGTAGGCTCGACCTTTTGGAACTCTCTCTTCAAGCTTGCTGACACGTTGAGCGACTTCCATTTTGCTCGTCTTTGGTCTCTTCTTGCTAAAGCTAGAGGCTTGCGCAGGCCAAGAAGAACTCCACCGAGTTACAGAACACGAAAATCTTCCGGACGCCAAGTCCCGATGAAACCTTCCGTGGTTCTTGCACGGGGTCTTACCCACCAACAGTATGGTGAAGTCACCCAGATCGACCCAGAGACCTGCAGGGTTTACCAATTGGTTTGGAGAATGCCATTTGCATCCATTTACAACACAAACATTGGAGTTTCAGATGTGACCCACTATTGGTCCTGCCAGTTTTGTCAGTCAAACCAGTACTTTTCGATGCCACCTCCAAACTCGTGCAACTCCCACGCAGGACGCGCGCCTCGATTCCAGGCAACACTCACGGTGAGGTCGCCATTTTGAAGGCTTGTGGCCGAGATCCGTGCGAAGGGCGGCTTGTCGTGGTCACTCCTCCCAGGAAACCAAGCCCTTTGTTGGAAGGAAGAACTATGGAATGGCACTTCGTGATCTTCATGATCTGATTATTCGGCCTGAAACCTATGGAGCTCCACCCTCGGGCATCGCTGGCCTATTCTAGTCTTTCCGGGCTCTGAAAGAGGACATGGAGACCCTCCGTCTCCTGAAATCACGAGCAGCCCCGGTGGCCAAGCGCGTGTAGACCAGTACCGCCTTGCTCAGGTATGATCTGCAGGCGTGTACAACTAGTGAACCAGAAACCATAGATACATTGGGCTACTAAAATCTTCATATCTCCCACTCAATCAGTGATGTAATGATAATGTTGCTCTTGTTGTTTAAGGGAAATAGAAGCTTGCTTCCTTTCTCCACAGCAACTGTTCTTCATTGGCAGGGAGAAGGCCTTCCAAATGGAGGCCGCTTCAAAGTAAGGGTGTGGATCAAAATAGACCAAATCGTAGCCTGAAGTATCTAACCAGCAAGGAACCCTGCACCTGAGGTGTCCAGTCAGTCCATCTTCATCCATTCCCAGTGCGGTGCCACCGAAGTCTTCCAGTTCGCCGGGGTTCACTGCCTGGGGTGTCTCTGGCGGCTCGGGCTCGGTGCTTGTGAGACTTGAAGGCCTCATGAGCAAAGTGAGCAGTGTGTATTGTGTATGAAAAAATGATGAAACATGGCACAATGAACCCATCAAAAGATGGAAGGACACCATCAACATCAACCCATAAGTTTGGTTGATGGTTTCTCGGTCTGTCTTCGACTCGACTGGGCGTCCGTGTTCGATGCCCGGTCAAAAAACACACCAAAAGGACCTGACCCCCCCGCACAGTCACAACAACCGCATTGAGCTTCCGACATCACCATGTCCAAGCCGAGATCCACCTTTAAAAAGCCAGGGTCCCAAGACAGTTTCACCGCCAAGGCCAACATAGTCCAACCGATGAACAGGGTGGCCGGAAGACAGGCAAAACGAGCTGCAGCCATGCTTCTGCTAACACCGGAAACCCATGAGTCAACATGGTGATTCTGCAGCCCAAGAAGTGGAGATGTCCTCAAAGTCCGGAGGCCTTCTGCGATCCCGACACATGACGCGACCTGCCGGTCTTTCTCGCATAACGTGAAGTTCATGGAGTCCACTCTGGGTCGCGTCAGCACATTGGCCACTCAGCCCTCTATCATTGTAACAGATTGCAAGGTCTAGGTCTCCATGCCATGACGACTTTAAGCTGTCGGAAACGTGGGTAGCTGCCAGGTTGTCCAACTCTGCTGATCCAAACTCATCACACTTCGGGACTTCCCAAGTTCCAAGTACCGATCTGAAAATGACAACCATGGAAGCCCTATGGAAGCCGGTTTCATGTCTTTCTGAATTCTTGACGGTGGTTTCTCCTTCAAGGTTTCCAGATTGATCTCAAGTTTCTCTATACGGCTCGGTGATGGCAATACTACTCTGCAGTCCGTCAAACACACTCCTTAACCCCGTTTCCTCAAACTTGGCATGAAATCTCTGCCTGCCAAAAGATGATCCCCGACGGAATCGCGCTCCCGCGTGCGAACTCAGACGTCGCCCACGAAAACACCGCCATTCCGATAGGTGCCCGCCGGGTAGCGGGGCAAATCATAGCCTCGGTGCGTTTTTTTTGCGGCCACGGTGGGCGTCCTCTTTTCTGGAGGTCGTCATGGGCATAGCCGAGGACTGAATTGTGAAGAGAATTGTGATTCACCGTGCTTGGCTGATGGATGAGGTGATTGATGCAATGCGCACATAGGATTAATCAACCCCCCCCCTACAAGGTCAACAAGGTCAACAAGGTTTGGGTGCAGACCACATCCCCTTAATAAAGATGATGACCTGATAATTGGAATGCAAGGGAATTAGTATTTGGAAGAATTGGGCTGAAAGGGAATTAGTTTTTGGAAGAATTGAGATGAAAGGGAATTAGTACTTGGAAGAGTTGCGATGAAAGGGAATTAGTGTTTGGAAGAATTGAGATGAAAGGGAATTAGTAGTTGGAAGAATTGAGATGAAAGGGAATTAGTATTTGGAAGAGTTGGGATGAAAGGGTTGGAAGAGATGGAAACCACATGAGAACTTTTGGAAAACAAGATGGAGGCCAGAGGGTGGGCTTGTTAATAGGGGGAGGGGTCCCTACTATTAGGGGGTGGTAGGGCCTGTGTGAGGGGTACCCTTTGTGAGCTTGAAAACCTTAAGATGTTGATAGCGTTTTAATAAGGGAAAATGAAAGAATTTTGCTAGAGAGTTTTTGGGGTTTTGGGGGATGGTTGGCTGCACAGATTGCTGCTGGGAAGGATGAGAAGAACAAGCAGAATGATCAGAAATGATTGATGGATGAGAGGATCAGCATGGGAAAAAGGTGGATCAGAATGCTATATCTCAAAGAGATGGCATGAGACAAGAGTGGATTCGAAGATCAGTTTCACCATGGACCAAAAGATATTGCCTACTAAAAAAGTAGTAATAATTAAATATAAAACCAATAATTTTTTGTGGGGGCGCTGGGCTTGATTCATAGGGGGGGTGGAAGTCATTATTAGGGGGAGGTTTGCAGAGATCAAATTAGTCTATTATTGGAGGCTTCAGCTGGCTTGATTAATAGGGGGGTTGGTTAATCCCATGTGCGCATTACTTTGTCAAACTTCCCAGATGGGGGTCTTTCTACAAACAGACTTTGGGCTACTTTGCAATCACAGGAAAACACGACCACCACGTCCGCTAGGCTGGCCTTCGGGTTCAAAGACCTTGATGTAGTCGAGGTCGAAGAATGCTTTGCTTTTCAAGCCCTCTTCTGCAGATGGATTCGAGATGTAGAGAGTACAACAATCAGTGGCCGGCTCGGTGACATGTCCAGGAGTGCAATAGTCTGGCACGTATCCCGTAGCCTTACACTCCTCGCACTCCCACCACGTATTCCCAGCCCAATCGCCACAGATTGCAATGTTCAGCACAATCTCCTGAGGCCTAGCAATGTCCATGCAAGTCTCTGCTTCAAATGGCATAAAAGCCATTCTCCAGGAGTCCTTCCAGGTATTGGGCTGTGGCTGGTTGTTGGCCAAATCTGCTGGGATCTCGCTTTCAGGAATGTGAAAGCTGGTGATGCCGCTCGCATCCCACAGCAAGGCAATGACACCCGGATTCTTGGCAAACCACTCACCATCTTTTCGCACCTGAGGTGGCATGCAGCCAATGAGATTCATGGAATAGTTGGTGTAGCAGTTCACCAGCATGTTGGGATCGATGCCTGGCGTCGGAGCAGCCGATCCCGTGGGTCGAAGCCGATGGCCGCTGGCGATCGCAGTCATATCGTTAGGGCCAAATGACACGTCTGCCCAATGAGATAAGGGCCCACATCAACAATCTAACTTGGGATTAGTACGAGTACGGATTAGTGTGTTATCTACTGCGGGGCGGCGTCACCTCATCTGCTCAACTGTCATCCAGATTCTAGATCTAGTTATCGTTCAAGAGCAAAGGCCTACAGTAGTGACGTAGTGGTATGCCACAGACATCCTGATCCGCTGTTCCTTCTCGGGACACCCTCTAGATTTTGAGCCATTCAGCCATACAGCCATCATCCCTAGGCCACAGCTCTCAGCCGATGCATTCGCTCTCAGCCGACTCGATGCCTTGGATGTTTCTTGCGCACTTCTTCAGCTTTTCCACGTTCAACTTGCAATGACGATCGGTGTGGAAGGTCACCTGCGTGTCTGCTCGCGGTGGAAGGTCACCGTGCCACTACCATGGATGGAGCATAGGGACATGCTGAAAACAAAAACAACATTGGTTCCTTGTCACTGCCACTTCCATGCCTTGTCTTCTGCAAGATTGGAGGACATTGTATTGAAAAAGGTCACCTTTAAGCAGTATTGAAAAATGGACAAGATTGGGTATTTAGGGAAGATGTATGTCTATCTAGGTTCAACCCCACAGAAAACCACTAAACTGACGTGGACTGTTGACTGGGGAATGTTGATGGATCCAAATGATGTTGCGATATTTTTGGGTAGTTTTGACCCCAGGTGCATATCCTGGCTCAGACTCTCCTGCATATCCTGGCCAGGTGCATTCGCATGGCAATCCAGAAAGTGATATGCACTCCGGATCTAAGGACATTGTGCCCACAATAGAGTTATTCTGCTCGACATTTGATAGCTTGAGCTGGCCTTATTGGCTTCGTCGTTGGCATATTCCAGGATGTCCAATTCTCCACCTGAAACAGAGAGGGCGAGACGCGGCGAGACAGGTAGCACGACTGCTACGATCTCACCAACCACATCAACCCCAAACGCACCATCTCCAGCATTCTCTGGCACAAGCTGGCACAAATGATGCAGAATCGAATCAATTCCCGGCTGTGCCAATCTCCGCACCTTTGGGCCAGCCCACGTCGCTGTTCACCAACCAAAAGGCGGGCCAAATGCCGGGGCCATAGGGCACGTGTTTGTACTTCATGGCCACAATAAAGCCAATGTCTGGGCGCCAGGCCTGGTCTGACGTCCGGCTCTCGACATGAAAACCAAGTGGCTTGGTGTAGCTGTGGTTGTTTGGTCCAACCAAACAGACCCCCTACTAAGGTGGCTCAAAAGGTGAATATCTGTTGGGTATATGATATGTAGTAATATGCATTATGTAGTAGTGATCATCATCGACTATCATTATATTCCGAAGCTCACTCTGCACAGATTTCAGTCTTTTGTCATTGCGTATGCAGCAACCACCTACCGCAAACAACTGACATTCAACATGATTGCCCAGCGCACCACGCACCACGCACATCCCGCGCCACGTCCGAGCGCACCGCGCGCCACGTGCGAGCGCACCTGGGCGGAGTGGAGCATCACACTCCGGCGCTTGAAGGGTTGCACTTGCTCGCCCACACGGAGCAGAGCACCGGCCTTCGAGGCATGGACCACACCTGACGACGCGAACCGCGACGGGCGAACCACACCCAACCGGCGCGAGTGGAGGGGGAGTTCCGCGCGACGGCAAGTCCGAAGTCAGATGTGGGTACCAGGGCAGTAGCAGTAGAAGTGACAAAAACCATGCAAAGGACCAGTAGAAGTGGCAAAAAAAGCAAATGATGAGGGAACCATGGCATACTGCTCCCACAATGTTTGTCATTTGCGATTTCCTGATGACAAAGGCAACACGCAAAAGCACGACACTCCGACAGTGCCTTGGTAAAAAGCCTCTGTCTTATTGAGATACCACTCCGCACCTGGCGCGGAGAGGGCGGAAGGCGTAGATCCCCAATGTGTTTGACTCTGAAAGAATGAGTTGAAGGTTCCCGAATCTTCTTGAATCTCCTGTACTTAGTCAAAACGGCCAATTGTTTTTCGTGGTTCAATAATGTCAACCCTTCAACCTCTCTCTTCAAAACAAATACATAAATTTACTAAGCATTCAGAATGTCCAATTTGCAGCTTCGAGAGGGTTCGAGATTGGGCCCTCCCAACTCACTGCATCTTCGGTTTGGGCTTTGAACCTCGAAACCTGGCAATGCTGGAAATCTCATCATGATCCCCTCACAAATCATCCAAAATCTGGTGCTCTGTGTCACCCAAGACTGCTTGTTCTTTCTTTCAAACCATTTTCAACCACGAGGAGGCACTCCACTACGCTCCGCATATCTGCGCCTCGCGTCTCACTCTTGTTGATGAACTGCCACTCGTCGAAGAACGTTTCACCTTCAGCCGACCAAGCCAGCTTGTAGTGATCATGAAGGCTGCCACATCCACCAGCTTTATGGGCATGAAACCTCAGGGTGCAAGTTCCAGATGCCTCACCTTACTTAACCAGCCACGAGCCTCAGCCAAGCAAAGCTTCAGGACATCCGTCCATGGTTCAAAGACAACAACATACTGATGTCAATCACAATCATTGGAACCGCAAGCACATCTCAGTGTAACATACGGACAAAAAGGAATTGTGCATGCACAGCTTGAGCCCTCATCCGCTCGAGAAATAAAGCGAATCCTCTTCCAGAGGCTAGGAGCATCCCCCTTGAGAACTCCCAAACCAAATGCACTGGGGTGGAGTTTATATGAGTTTATGCAACCGGGTCAGTACAACTGAGCGTCCTTCAACTCGCCGAGAAGCTTTGGAAGGCCTAGCGCTGAGCCTTCGAAGACCATGGTCGGCCCGTTATCGATCTCTTTGCATTCCCGTGGTCCACTGATCACGCCATTGTCGTCAGGCCCAATGTAGGCTTTGGGATGAGCTGAGAATGAGGTCAAAAGGCAACCTCCGTCCTTCCTCACGAGGCGCAAGGCCGAGGTTGATCTGATACCGATCGAGGTTCAGCGTCCAATTCCTCGTGAGAGTCTTTTGTGTTGACTCGATTTGTTGGGGATGGCTGGCAGGAGTGGGTGCCTGTCAATTGGCACATCTCCCTCTGGATCAACAAACGGAGTGGACTCCTTCAACATCCAGAAAATGGAGTTGCCGTCGGATTGAGACAGGTGTACCTTTCGACCCTATAGATCCCTATAGACTATAGATCTTTAAAATCTACAGCTACTTGTACCTAGATCTACCAAGAGTCGCTGTTACTAGAGGCGAATCTATGGCACATCACCCTATCAAGATCCTATCGATCTGTGATCAATGTTCACGATACGCACCTGTCTTGTCTGGTCTCTGTACCCACGCGTGCATGCGCGTGCACACGAAGAAGGAAGAAAAGAGAACGAACAGAAGCAGCCTCCATTCCACCCGTCGTTTGGTTAAGGCGCCAATAGGAGAAATGTTCACATCCGAAGGTGCTGGCACACATCAGCTGGCACGCCGCAGGGCCCACCGTGGAGGTCTTAGACGTCTTGGGCATTTGGAAGTCGCCATTGGCTTCCACGTAGAAGGTCTTATTCTTCCAACATTTCAGAGTTTTCATGCCTCCCAAGAATGACAATTTCTCTGTCGCGAAATGCGAAACGTTGCCTCTCTATTCTCAGTTAGTCTAATCTTGCAGCAAGCAATCTTGCAAAACATCTGAAGCGCTTGGGGAGGGGTGTCAAAGCGGAGCTTGCATTTTGGGGAGTTCTTGTGTTTCGTGTTTCGGCCTGCATGTCCGCAAAATCCTAGTTAAGTGATGCAGTGGACGTGGAATGCATGTCACTCACATTCGACATGCACACACGCACACTCCAATCTTCCACACACCCCCACTACTGAAGTCATCGTGTGACTATCTGATATGATCGTGATATATTACTTCACAATCCTTTCCACACATATTTGCCACATCTCTGCCACCTTAGCTGATATCCGCACAATCGAACCTCCCAAACTTCACCCCAAACATGCAAAACATCCATCTCCAAAATCCAAGCCCAACCCTTCACCCTGGAAAAACACTTTACTTCGAGTGAGCCCCACTATGACATTTCAATCGGACCGTTTTCCTAGCATGTGATGAACATTATGTCGGCATTCTTTCTGGCATATCTTCTGACGTTCTTTCTGACATTTGTTGGCATATCTTCTGACATTCTTTCTGGCACATCGTCTGACATGCGTTCATCTGACATTCTTGCTGACACGCTTTCCGGCAGCGGCATATCTTCTGACATTCTTTATGCATCTCTTCTGGCGAGCTTTCTGGCATATCTTCTGAAACTTCTATCTGGCATATCTAACTACTGACATTCTTTCCGGCATATCTTCTGCATATTGTCTGATACTCTTTCTGGCGTTCTATCTGCTATATCTTCTGACTCACGGCTGAGGTCCGGCGGGGAACACTGCCCGCCGAAGCTCCGGCGGGGAATAGTGCCAGCCGAAGCTGGCGGTTGAGGTCCGGCGGGGAACACTGTCGTCCGGAGCTGGCAGTTGAGGTCCGGCGGGGAACACCGCCATCTGGAGCTGCGGTTGAGGTCCGGCAGGGAACACTGCCATCCGACACTCGCAGTTGAGGAGGACGAGGAGGAGAGGAGAAGAAGCACGGCAGCTGACATAGAATCTAACAACCCTCACCTGACAGGTGGGAAAAAAAGGCAAAACTCCACCATCCACCCAGCTTTTGCACCTGTGAGGTCGAACTCCCGGATGCTCTCCATCGTCTTGGCCTCGCCCAGTCCGACACCACGAGAAGCGCCACACAGCGCTGCGCCGGCCGCGAGGGCCGCCAGGAGGCCCAGTCCGAAGCCCAGCCGGCGCCCGAGCGGCCCGCCTGGGCGGGGCCTCGCTGCCGTGCCAAACGGGTGCGAGGTGATCAATTAGATTTTGATACTATACTGTATGTGTACAATATTATGTACTTATAATTATCATGTATATATATATATACACATACATTATGCATGCAGTGTTTTGTATAATATTATATACTATGAATCTTGTGGATCAGTTGATCTGATCTGACGTGGTCAGATGGAAGTGAAAGACTTTAGATCTTCCACAGCCACTGTTTCTTCGAAACCGTTGAATGATCTTTCCATCTGCAGGCAAGTGGCTGGACAACCGTTTGCGACTCACATTCCACCAACGGATCTATTGCCTCCATGCGCGCCCTCCGTCGCCGCTCCGGACGCGTCCGACGCGGCGATCGGGGCGATGGGGGACCTCCGTACTGCGAAGCTGTAGAAAACCAACGAGTCGGGTCTGAGCTAAAATGCCTGCGGAGGTGCACGTGAGGCATGTGAGTGTGAGTGAGTGAGTGTGTGTGTGCTTGTTGTGCAAGGTGAGATGCGATGGAACGGATGGAGGTCCGTTGGTGCATCTGAGACCCTGTTCTGTCATGGTGTGATGCTTTGGATTCCACTTCTCAAGCCACTCACCCTGCTCCCTTGGAGCACAGGGATTTGACAAACTCAGCGGCCCTCAAAACAGGGGATTCACATGGAGGTCCTGCAGTTTGAAAAGGGTCGAGTCTCAGGCTCTCAGGGTCACAAGTTCCCCTTGCATTGGTTTGCCAGGTTCGAAGTGTGCAGCCAAGCCAAATCAAGCCAAGCACCTGTGGACATCTCCCAGTTTAAAGATCAACGAAAAGCAGGAATGCAGCGCAACAGCAGAGAGGAGAGAGGAAAGCAGCAGAAAGGATCATGTTGAAATCGATTTTAGAAAACAATGCTAAACAGATACAAATATTTATGTATACCTGGATCTTCCAATTACCAAAAATATCCGGTCGTTTTTGCTTTTTCGCCGCTTTGGTCGTTTTTTGTTTTGTGTTTTTGGAGGATGTTTTCGGTCGTTTGCACATTTTTGTGGGCGTTTTGCGGTCTTTTTGTCGTGTGCGTTGATTCGCGTGCATGTGCGCTGAAAACTGAGTCAATGACGTTTGTGTATTTATATATATATATACATATTTATCATGATAACTCTTTGACATTCTTTGACCATTGATCTTTTGCAACCTCTTTTCCGCCAACTGCCTGGAGCCCCAGCGCTGCCCTCGCAGTCATCGCGCCTCGTAAACCCCGTAGTCCTCATCCGCGCAGATGGCCGGTTCGCTCCGGTGCCTGTGGTGTGTCCAATGGAATTTCACGTGAAATATGGAAAGCCGTGGATGAATTCCATGGAAACCACCTGAGACAGATATGATAGACTGAAGGAGTCCTAGTGATCTTGGGTTTGTGATCAGTCTCTGAACTATCTGAACTGAAGGATTGCTGGGTCCATCCTTCGACCTGATGGATCATGTCCCACCATGTCAGACGGCGTTGTATGGTGGTCTTGGTGGTTTTGAGGTGGTTCTTCCTTCAACTGTATTGTGCCGGTAGTTTCCCTCAGCCGAAACATCCACCGGTTGGCGGGAATTCACATGCTTCTGCACGTAGGCGGTGCTCTGCTCTGCTCGCCGACGTCGACGTCTATCAGCACGTCCGATGTTGGAGCTGAGCTGATGGTCATTCAACTGGGACTGTTCTCCAGCACGGTGTTGGTTTAAATCATGTATTCACATCTTGCGTAAGATTACTTTCCGTCCTGTGGCTTGACAATTCACAATGCCGGAACCCCATCACTGAGCGTCTTTGGGAGGTTCTCCTGTGTCTCCAAGACCAAGTTCAAGATTCCTTGGTCCCTTTTCAAAGTATTATCCATGAATTTGACCGAAACTGACTGGCACTGCCAGGACAATCTCCTGTGGACCGCATCCTGAAATGTCGCACTTCCCAGTTTCGCACACAAAAGAACTTGGGTGCCAGCTGATAGATGTCATCAATATCAGAAAGGCCCTCATACAAGTCAGCCTGGCGGCTTGACAAAGGAGACAATGGAACATCGAATGGGACAGTCATTCCTCTATACTATGGTCCAGCAGCACCGGGACGGTGCAAATGAAATTCCTCAAAGAACATGGTGAGTTTCCCCTTTGATCTTATCCTCAACCCTACGCATCGATGGTTTGATCATCCTTCAAACCGCCATGCTTCAAAAGAGTAAGGGAGATTGAAGGACTTTCCTGAAGCTTTACGATACACCCCCTCCATTTCCCTAGCTAGGTCAGATCTCACCCTGAAATATTTCCCTCCACCCCCAGCCCATGAATGACAGCCTTGTTGACTCCCCGTCGTCCACCCGAACCTCTCTGCATCCGCACCACCCGCACCCGCACCCGCTGCAACCAAGGTCACCTCGACCTCTGTACCGCTGGCGCTGGAACGCCCCTCGGTGGGCCCCGTGGACTGCTTGGCCTTGGGGCGTTGGAGCCGAAGAAGTGTCCACAACTGGTTGAATCAGAAGAGACCTGGGATGGATGTGTAGCAAAACAAATATGGCTCAGTTGTTTTGGACAGTAGCTGCACAAGTCTGCTCAGACTTTTCTTGTTTAGCGTTCTTTTTGGCTGAGCAGAGATTTCTTTAAGAGGTGATGGTGGTAACATCCTTGGGTGCTTGCGTAGAACCCTACAGTTTGCCTGCGTTTCCACAGTGAAAGCCTACGGCAGACATTACTCATTCTAAAACGCCTATGTAAAATTACGATCGTTAGATTTTAGAGAAATACTGTTGCAAAGTTGCCTGCAGTACCATGCAGTTCTTGCAAACCTCCCCGTCGCCCCGTGTCTTTGACATCGGGAGTACGTCTCAGCACCGCCGCTTTTGAGATCTCGTTGAGAAAATGACGAAATGTGATTTCGCATGCGGTGGCTGTACGGAGAACCTACTGTGAGCCTACGGAAAATGCCCCTAGGAAAAATAGACAAAAAAAAACGCCTTGGGACACTGACAAACACTGTTGGGTGTTCTCATCTCCCACACAGAGACAGTGGCCCTGAGTAAGATTGCTCATGGACAAAGCACAACAAGTTGAGACACAACCACCCAAAATCCAAGGCATGCTATTTTAGTGGATGTATGGTCGCCTACGGCAAGACCTACGACAAATATTGCACAACAAATGCCTACGTAGCCTACGACTGCCTATGTCCCCAAGCAGGTTGCCTACGCCACCCGTTGAGAATTTTACATGTTGTATAACATGTTCCTTGCATATCAGAGAAATCTCAGCTCAGCTGTAGAACCATTCTCGTAAAGCCGTACAGGTAGACTTGCTGATTCGGTTCATGTTTGGCCCAATCTATTGTGGGCAAAGCGTTGCAGAGGCACCCACTTGCGAAAGACTCAGCTGCTAACAGCAAAGACACTCTCCATACTTAGCTACGGCTTGTGGTTTTGGAGATGGGATCTATCCCAGCAAACCAAGGGCATCAGCGACACGTGAAGATGTCCTGATGCGTCCGCCTTCGGTCGTGTCGCTTGACCGGGCTCCCCAACAAGGGCCTCCCCACGCAAGAGCAGTGGGGCACCATCAGCGAGCTCGATCTCAGCGAAAACAGGTGAAGGACTTCACAGAGCCAGGTTTTTTTGGGACAACCAGGAAAGGAACGGATGTTTTTGGCATCCACCAGGCTCTCTTCTGGTCTTGCTTGTTCTTGGATGCTAAATTCAAAGACCACCCTTCTGCAGCTTGGTGGAAAATTAGAAGTGCCGTTAATGGGCATGTAAGCGAGTTTCAGACGACCACCTAGCACATTTGCATACATTTGCCATGTCCCACCCATATAAGACCTATATAATATATAACAAATCTCATTTGCGGCTCCTGTTCTATCCTACACGTGCAATCCAAAGGTCACCATCCACCCTTGCAAGTCCAGATGACTCATTTTACCCTCATGGTAGTGGGCTATGACTCCGTGTCGGTGGGGTAGTTCATGAGTCATTGGTTCGGGTCACCATCCACCTTTTCAAACCAATGAAACTCCCACGGCTTAGCTTGAAGCGGCCAGTGCTTGGTTGACTCGTTCATTGACCGTCTGTCGCAGTCAGCTCACCGAGTTCCGACCAGTTCCGCAGCGTTCGCACCCGGCGTCCGTCGTTCGGAGTGTTCCAATGGTCCGTTCCGTCGCCCGTGCCGTCGATCGTTCTGACCATGGCTGGAAGGCCTCCCAAAGGGCCTCATGGGCCCCTAGCTCCAGGCATGCAACCCCCAAAATAGGAGCCGAAGACGCACCAGCGACCACATGCGACAAGGCCGATAGCCCACGCTGTCAAGGTCGCTGGTGCGACAGGGGTGCGGTCAGGTGCGGTCTCATCTTTAGCTTCGGGCATAAAAGAATGGAGCTTCTTGCAGTAACTTCACACCCTTCAGTGTCACAACCCATCGATGGATCTGTTTGCATAGGTCTTGGCTCCCTTGCAGAACTAGGCTATCTCCATAAGGTTCTTTCAAGGGATGAGGTGTATCCGGTGTATCCTGGCCCCTGGCTGATTACTTTTGCTGAAAATATCCTCTTCAGTCACGGCATGTCACGAACACATCATGGCCAACTATGAAGCTTCAACGCCCCCTACCCAGCTTGTAGCGCAGTCACATTGTTTCTAGGCAAATCACAAGCAAGTTCGCCTCATGCAAACCAATGGCAACAGCAATCTTGCATCTCTCCTGTCTGATGCACACTGTAGAAGTATATAAAGCGCATGAGCCACTGCCTTCTTTTCAACCGCTTTGGTGACCACTCGCAAGGCTTGCCTAGCCCAAAAAGACTCCGCTCGCAAGGCTTACCGCAGCCATTGACCATCGAAAGAAACCAACCGCGCTCGAAGTTTTTGGCCCCGGAATGTAGCAATGGTGCCAGGATGTGCCAAACTGCGCAATGCGGCGCTTGCAGTGATACTCTTCAACCACACATCCTCGAAACACTGAGGATGTACTTGCCCTACTTGTCCCGGCGGCCGGAAGAAAAAACTATCCATCTTCCCAAGCAAGGCAGCTGGAGGCAGCGCGTTCTTCCATTCTTTTCCTCGAGGTTCACCGGAACCACCGTCATTCGTCCTCCGGGACGCCCGGCGCCCCGGATCTCTGGCTGTGGCGCCGTCTCGCCAGGGCGCGGCGCTCGGCAAAGAAGCGAAAGAAGAAGCCTTCCTTAAGGGGCGAAGCGACGTCCCGAGTCACGGCTTGGCTGGGACGTGGCACCAACCAAGTGTAACTATGAACAGAAATGAAGATCTCATAGCATCAACCTGGCGATTTTTTCTTGGCATGTCTTCTCTCAGGAGTCCTCCACAACACTCGGCCGAAGCTTTCGGGGTAGCAACTCCGTTCAGAATCATTATCCGGAGGGAGGCAGTAGACATCAAAGTTCAAGGTTCTTCAATTCTTCCTTCTCGCCTTTTCTAGAATCTCCACCAAGGTATCACTTTTGTAGATAGAATTGTGACCAACACAGTCAATGTTTGGGCAGGTGTTTCTACCTAGTTGGGATTTACAATGATTTGTACAACATGTGAGCATAAATACATGACACCTCTCTTGACACCTCTCTATTCGTTACAAGGCCAGGTGTTGATCCACCATCAGGATGTCACTCGTCACTTCTTTCTTTTCCAAAACTCCGAGAAGGCGAAACAGGCGAGGCCATAGCGCGGCCTAGGACGAGTGCCAAAGGCCTCTTGCCAAGTGCATGGGTCCGGCTCCACGAAATGGCCCCCATTGGCTGGGACGTCGATGTTGGGTGCTGGTGACAGATCGAAGAACTGGCTCAACTGACCAGAACAGACCTCGGTGCTCGTGTCATTGGAGAAAAGACCCACGGGACCTGCACTCTCAGGTTTCCCAAAGACTTCCGTCGGGAAGAAGCAACAACGTTGGATGAAAAACTCGCGGTCAAGTTCCGCGGATGAACACTCAGAGGTGCTGAGCAGGTGTCTTCAGGTCCTAAACGCTAGAGATTCCGTGTGAAGCAGTGCGAAACGCGGAATAGCTGCTCTTCCATGTGATTCCTACAACGCGTGAAAAACGGCAGCCCACCCACAAAGAAAGGGACAGAGTTGATTTGAATTGATTGTCTTGAAAGGCAACGCCCCGTCCACAGTGGTGAAAAATGGTGAAATATGGATCACATATTTTTGTTGAGACATACATTCGAGACACCAAAGCCGCAGGGAAGCCTTCCCTTTCTGCCCTCTCCATGAAACCAATGGAGTCTCCTACCAGCAAGGTGTGGTTTCTTGTGTATACTGTCAGATCCAAGTCTTCCGATGTGACAAGCATGTCGTAGTGTTCACCTTGATGAAGCCCCAGCTTCCTGAGCGGAAATAGGAAGGAGCCAAGAAAACCTGGGGAACAGCTGTGTTTTCGTACGAGTAGCTTTTTGACATCTTTTGACTCTCCCAAGTGTTACTGCTTGACCCGCCTTCTTTTTCTTGGGTGGCCCTTTACCTGAAAGAGTGGCATGTCATGTCGGTGAGCATTCACCAACATCGGATTTTTTTGGACTTCAAATCTGCGGATTTGAGCTGCTCCAAATCACCACATCGCATGGAGCTCAAGAGTACGCGGCGGATTTGAGAGTGAGAGCTCCTCAACTCGCGAAGGCAATCTTCAGCCCACGGAAATACCTTCGCCACTGCCTTCTGCCCATAGATGGTGCCTTCTCCTTGGATGATGACCACCTTGAAGTCATTGATCACCTCTTCCAGTCCTTAAGGCTTTACCAAGGATCCCTCGCTCTTTGTCTCTTAAGGTGGTTGAGCTGCTCGTGGTAAATCGCGTTTTGGTAAATCATGGGTTGGATTGTTTGGGCTCATAGGCTTAAAATCAGACATGACATGCGTGCGTTCTATCAAAATCTGGTCGTGCCCTCTCTATCACAAGTGCCTGCCATCACATCGGGGAAACATGACTTGCAACACCCCGAGATCACGAAGGTCTAACTCGGCGAAGCTTCCGCCACCCAGCCACCGAGGCTCTGCCACCAACTCCGCGTCACGCGTGACGCTCGCCGTGACCGCCGTGACCGTGCGGCGCCGTGATCGCCGTGACCGCCGCCGGCTGGGCGACCAGTGAAGGAGGCAACTGAAGGCAGACAGAAGTCCCGTGCGCCACGCGGGCGGACCTTCCAGAAGTCCAGCTCGCAAGGTCGCGCGCAAAATCGTCCGAGATCGGTCACACAGATCGCTCGAAGTTGCTTGTTGGCACCCACAGGGAGGATACATCGGAGGAGCAAAGATTGGCTTGAGCACCAAGAGGCTTCGTAATATATAGACAGACTTCTGCTGCTCAGTCAACTGGACCCCCGGCGAACGGTTACAAACCAATCACCGTCGTCGCGGCTTCGACAAGGGGCACTGGGGCTCGGGCTTCGCCATGTGCTTTGACAAGGCTTTCGAAGCGTCTTCGTAGCCAGCCCATATCTCTGAAATCATCCGCTCCTGGAGTCTCTGATTGACGTGCTTCACTCTGCAAGTGTTCATGATTGTGAAAACCCGACCCCCAGGTGAGGGAGTGGCTTCCCTTCTGCCTGTGGTGTTTGGACGCTTCCATGATGGAAAAGAGATTCAAAATATCACTCCCAATCTTCACAATCGAAATGCGTGTCGACCATCAATGAGGTGTTTGAATGCGTTCACGACAGGAGTTGAGACTGTTTTAAGCAGATTTAAGCACGACCCCTGTTTCCATTGCCATAGCCTTGGAAGTGGTAAGAGCACACAAGCTGTGCGAGATGGAGCTATATATTTGCCTTGCTGGGAAAGACCTTTGACTTGTCTCTCCAAGTGAGTCTTTGGCGATTCCCTTTGAACCATCTGGAATGTTAGGCCATTTCTCGAATGTTCACGGAATGGTGTAACACAGAACTTGTCTGAAGGTTCCATGTCGATGAATCCTCCCAACTTCATCTCGTCAGACTTGCCCAAATCCGACCTTGAGGAGAGTCAGCCACATTCCACCTGGACTTGATGGATCCAGCTTGCACCACCACTGAACACCAAACTTGATCCAACTTTCACGCTGCTCCTCCAGCCACCTGCGGCACCAATTCCACCCGCGGGATGTAGGCAGGCACCTGTAGGCAGGATGGAGCGCGGCTGCGGGCAGATTTCGGCAGATGCGATCCATGACAACCACCTTCTGGGTGTGTGGCTCCTCTGAAAATGATGTTGGCTCTAAAGCAGCCTTTGTTCAGTGGGTCAGAGGTAATTCTATGAAAGATGATTTGAAGGGATTGGATGGGGAAAAGTTCCAATTTTTTCATGACAAGCGATGACCTGATGAAGGTCAATGTCCCATCCCCTAAACATAGGCCAACCGCACTCCAAAGCAAAGTGGCAATGGGCGTCACTGTGAAGGACCTCTGATCCTTCTAGCTCATTCGGAAGATCTTGGAAACTAGTTGTTGAACAGGCGGCTGGTTGATGCCTGAGATCCATAGTGATCGTCTCAGTCACAGACATGTAAAATCCTTATCATCACTCAGAACAAAGGGATCCTGTACCATCCTGTGGTGAAGTCGCTTTTCCGGACAAGTAAACGAACATATAATATATAATGAAAATTAGATTAGATTGAATGTACGCTTGATTTATTTTGTCTACTTTAGTATACCGTACTTTTTTTGTGCTTATGTGCTTGGGCTGGCGTTCGCAATGCCAAGGCAGAATCCTTTCGTTTGGATACCATTTGCTGGAATGTTGGAGCCTGCAGGCAGCGCCAGAGCTTTGCGAGGCCAAAGCAGGGCACGTGGACGGCAGAGGAGAAGCTTGCCTGGGTGAGGAGAAAACCCGAGAGGTCAAAGGAGGCTCCTCTGACCACATCGACCGAACTCACCAAACTCCCACAAAGGCAGCTTCCATATGTGTTATCAAAGAGTAAAGAGAAGGGCATGTCGCTTTGTCACATGTTTGACATCTGCTTGAGTCTGAATTTGTCACTTGAAGAGAATCTGCTTGTCGCATGTTATCAAGTGTGTGCTTGAACTATCGACCTTCTTTCTCATGTTGCTCAACTTGGATGAAAACTGGCCATTCTCCGAAAAGATGGCCATTCTCCTCTGCTCCACATGGCGCTTGAACGGACCTCGATGCCATGGCGGTCTGAGAAAGCGACGCCGAGGATGATGTGGCCACGCGGGACCTGAAGAGATTCGTGACTTCTCAACCATCCATCTGGAAGTCTAGGAAAGGTCCCCAGGGCATTTATAGATACAAGATCATATGCAGAATGTAATCGAATTTACAATATGTATATAATATAAAATAATATGATTAATCAATTTAATATAATCATGCAAAATTTTATATACGTTGCATCCACTGGACAAAAAAGAACAACGACCCCTCCTACCGCTGGCAAATCACTTCGGGGCATCTGTCCACTGCCCGAAGCTCATCCTCCCACTCATGATCTCTCCAGGATCCGACTCAACCGCTTCCAGAATCCTGCAACCTCGCTGCGGGAGCGCTGGGCGCTCCGTCCAGCTCCCGGGCTGGGCGCCCGTCGCGGGTGTCCTCGAAACGCCCTGCGAGCCCTGCCTTTCCAACATCCAGCCGCAAGAGGTGCATGTCAGGAGAGCCCGCAGGTCTGGAGAAACGGAGGTCTGGGTGCATGTCAGTGATGCTAAAGGGGGCAAAATGACACCTGAGCCTCCGACTTTAGGAGCTGATAACTGATTTGAAGATATCAAATAGCTTCCCGAAAACAACAGATGCTATGACTAGGTTCAAAAAGAGCTGTGGAACAGAAGTTACATCATTCAAAACCAAGCACTGAACACATTGGGCCCGTTCGTTGAATGACAGCTGCATCCTACTGCATGGTTTGAGACGCGTGTACACAGTTCAGCAGAGAGAACCTTCAACCAACTGCAAGAGATCCTGAAATAACAATTGCAATAGAACCAGTGCAATACGCTCTATGTTTTCTGATGAAAGGAAAATAGAGACAGTCTTAACATGTTCTAAAAAATGTGCGAAATGGACGTCCAAACGGCGGTATTTCTTGACAACCCCTCCCTCTATTGTTGGGACACTCAGGTCCAATACCTTCACCCTGAGTCCGTGGCCTCAGTTTGGGTAAGCCAAAATCAATTCAAACCGAATCGTCCGATCCAGTTGGATGCCCCCTGCTGCCCACGGCTTGATCTCCGCCTCAACTGGCGAGTCTTCGCAACGTCAAGCCATGCCAAACAGCTAGACACGCCACTGGCGAAGCATTCCAAGTCCTCCAAAGCTGCCAAGTGCATTCTGGTTGAGTGCTCTCAACCTACCTCTTTGGAATTAAAATATCCAGGGCACGGGTTGCAAAGGACTCACTTGAAGAATGACGGCTATTGGCTATTGGGACACTTGTGTATTGATTTCAGAAAGCCGTTGCTTCTCCAACTCTTCGTGTTGCGCCCAGATCGCCGACCTCCACGTCTCCACCGATTTTCAACGTCTCCATCCACCTTTCAGAAGCTCACGAGGCTCACGGTGAGCTATTTTTTTTTCAGGTTCTCTTCACTGGGGACCAGGTCCTTCTCATTCACCAGTCCACGTGGGAGGTCAATGTCCTGACCAGGATTCATGTGTGTTTCACTGGAAGCATCTCAGTGAAACACTGGTTTCGGTGTTTGTAGGTCGACTGGTCTCAGTGGAGACCGCCAATCTCTCCGGCATCGATGAAAAGACTCCAATGGACAGTGTTGCTATGCTGAATTGTCCTCCGGATCCGTTAAAACACTCTCTCAGACTCATCATCGAAACAAGAGGCTCCTCATCGAAAGTGAAGACCCTCAAGTGGAAGCAGTTGTCCTTCATGTCACTGGCTGAGATAGAAACCTGTTCCGCAGCCGGAGAAGATGCGGAACAAAGAATCCATGACCGCCCTGCCCAGCAAATCCGCTTCAGTCGGTTCATTTCTACGGTTTCCACTGTATGAAGCATAGGTCAAAAGCATAAGTAATCTGATATGATAATAAATATAGTCTATAGTGACGGACTCTTAAGTCGAACCCCTTTTGGAAAAAAAAAACAACTCCAAAATGAAAAACGCCTGCACAAGTGGTTCTAAGCGTACTACACTTAGAAACTCTAGGTATACTTAGAACCCTGAGCAGTTGGAAAAGTGCCTGCAATGGAAGTGGCACTTGGAACCACAATGAACCACATAAATCGTGATCTAAGGAATTTAAGGAAACTAGGTCGTGTGAGCACGGCACATGGAGCAGGGTATGCTCAAGAAGCTGTGGCCAAATGTTTTTTGGACTTGACTGAGTCGGTTTTCCCTGAGGGCCACTGGCTGGTGTCAAGTGTGATGCTCCAAACTTCTCACTGGCTGATTTTAATGGCCCGAAGTAGTAGATCTCACGGGCACTGGACGGCCGTGTTCGGCGGCCGCACCGGACCGCCATGGCAGAACTATCACTTCCGGAGGTGAAGGAGTTTGGATATGGGACGCTTGCCTGTATGTACTTTGACAAAAGGGCTTATGATAAAATATAATATATGATAATAATATATGATAAGGAACATAATAGAGGTCCCTGGTTGAACATGAACAACCTTTTTCCCACCCGCTTCCATGACAACTACTCGGTTTTTCACCATCCGTTTTTGGACCACCGAGTCGCACCGGTCACACCGGTGTTTCGGTCACCGAGGACCGTCCCGTGGCCCCCAACAGCTCCATCCCTCCGGCGCGACTCGATGGCGAGCTCCTCCCGTTCGATGCAAAAAGGCGGGAGACCACCAGACCGGTCCAAGGCTTACCGGTTTTGGCATCGACAGGTGAAAGGTCCAAGATGTAGCTAATTTGCTACTAGTAGCGATGCCATTGTTACTAGTAGCTTCTTGTTCCTAGTAGTAAGGCCAGGAGCTGATAGTGGCGTCCTTGCTCCTAGTAGCGATGCCCTTTGTTCCTAGTAGCGTCCTTGCTCCTAAATCAAGAAGGGCTCCCTTCCTTTTGATGGTCATGCCTGGGTCATCTGGGTCTTCATCTTTTGTTTGCATGATGAGAAAGCGCAAGACCTGATTCAGACTAGAAAAGGATGCCCACGCAAGACCACTTTCACGCGTGTAACCACGCCATGATGAGTTTGGTTGGAACATTGCGGGGATTGCAGTCTAAAGCAGTTTTCTTGTCTCGAATGACTCCCGCAAGCCAGGACAAGACCAGCTGGAGAAATCCCAATGCCAAGAACATCTGCGATGGCTAAGCCACATGTGAAGAGGAAACTCGGCCCCGGTTGGTGTGACGTGTGCCAAACATCTGAGGATACACAATCCACACCAACACACGTGTCGCGGCAGGCCAGCAGGCTCCGTGTCACGGCCGAGCATGAAGCAAGGTGACCTGAGGGCAACACTCAAGCCAAGCCAGTGCTGATACATCACAGGATATCTTCCAGTGCTGCTAGTGACAAAGACACTATGACACTATAGACTATAGACAAACATGTCTTGGAACCAACAGTATGCAGGCTTGGCGGGACTTGTACATGACAGATTCGCGTGGCAGAGAGTCTTCATCCACTTCCCCTCGCTAACAGATGTCCTCCCAGACCTGCAGGTATCAGTCTGTTCCATGAAACAAGAAACACCTAGTCTCCCCATCTCGATGTGTTTGCTCTCCACATCTTCGGAGGAAAGTTCTGAAGGCATCTCCTGAGACCAAGGGGTTGGGGCCCCCTCCCGGTTTAGCTCCAAACGGCTCCCGGTTGAACTGGAGAAGATGCTCCTCCGTCCGGAGCCGGCCAAACCTCGCTCCCTCCGCCTCCGGAAGCCCCTGCACCGCAAACGGTTCGTCGCCAGAGGGCGTGTTCTCGTCGGCCGGATCCACTCGAAGCTTGGCCACCAACTGTCCATGCACCTGATCGGGGAGTGAGGGCTCCGCAGCGACCGAAGGAGATCGATGGGGTTGGACGGGTCCGTCCGCGAGTTCGGAAAGGGAGAGTGTCCATTCCCTGCAAGCCAAGCAGATTCAATGTTCAAGCAGAATCAAACGGAGGACTTTCTTGATCTACAGTTCTACTACAGTACCTCCTTGGGTTTCTTCATTGATCAAATTCCTCCAGCTCGTTCCCATCCCTGAGCTCTCTACCCATACAGGGAAGGCCATGCCAGGCATCAGCACCGAGACCTTGGCATGCAGCGTTTCCACCGAGACCACTTGGCTTCGCCGGCGGCAATCGGTCGTGGCCTGGGCCAAGAGATTTTCCTCGATGAAATTAGCTTGGAGCTCCACGACCTGCAGCAAGACTGAGAGTTTGGAAAGCTTTGCGGGAGGGGGGCAGCGGTGGTCGTTTGTCTGGGCCAAACTGAGGGCAGCATCTTCAAGAGAACATGTGAACATGCATTGCAGAGCTTTTTGGGGTGGCCTCACGTGATTCCTCATGATTCAGAGTGCCTTCAATGTTTTGGTCAAGGTATGAATTCCTGCACCTTACTGCATCATACCACTTGGTTCTGTTGCGTCAGCTTCGCAGGGCCCAGCAGCATCAACCACAGGGCACGATGCTTCTTTCATCCTGGCCTCAAAGTCATCGATGCTGTTCCTGAGCTGATGCAGTTGGTCATCAAGCCGATTGTCAGTCTCTCACAGTTGAGTCTGTGCACAGCACCATGCCCTGCACCAAACAATCTTCAAGCTGGAAACGCTGGCAAAAAAAGGAATCAAGAACACCCGCCTCTCTAATAGCGATGGTCTCCAACCTAATAGCGATGGCCTCCAACCCAATGGCAATGGCCACCGTCCTAGTAGCGATGGCCTCCAACAAGAACACCCTCCCCTCCTTATAAAAACTGACTTCGACGTTCACGCGAAGCTTAGCGTCGGTTGAACCATCACGGTGGCTGCGATAGGGGCCACATGCGCAAAGGCCTCCACTTGATCACCCTCATCCAAACCTGGGATCAGCTGCAAATATTTGGAGATGCTCCAACTGCATTTAGCCAGTCTGCAAAAACCATATGCAGATAGTTTTGGCAAAATTCCAATGTGTTGGATCAAAGACCGTACAATTGTAGTCTGTTCCCTTCCCCTCTGGGTCTTCACAAGTGCGCCAGGATTTTAAACGAAACACCTGCTAAACCAGTACCTGCAAATCACATCCCTGACACTTGTTCATTGAACTCGAAACAAAACATCAGCAAGGTTGACCACCTTGCTGACCACCATACAGCACGATCGTGCTGCAGTGCACGACTCAAGGGAAGTCGTTTTTTCTGGTGGAACACATGGGGCGCTGAAAACGACCTCCAGATCGTCCAGGAAACCCAAGCACTCTGCAAAGGGCTTGGAAAGCTCCAATCTCCCAGCTGTCAGGGACTGTTCCCCGACCCATCCCACATAGACATCCACCGAACCGGCACGTGCGCCCCGCACGCGCAAGGCCCGGCAAAAGTGGCGTCGTGCGTGGTGCGTTTTCTCTGGAAAGAGCTCAGCTGCATCGTTGGGGTGCAAAGCGCAGTAGCAACTGGACCGTTCGGTGAAGACCACCTCAGCGGATGGATCTCAGTGGATGGATCTCGTTGATCCAAGTATATATATATATATAACAACGGTCTGGATGGATTTTTGGAGGTGCAAAATCGAAGAAATGCTGCCAAGCAGTTTGTGCATAAACACTTCTGTCTGGCCCATCAATGTGATATGTGCTTTACCAATGGTCCTATATAAGTCCTATGGTGCCTCTTTGATGTGATTCGCGTGGGGAACAGCCTCCAAACCGACCCACCTGGAGCTTCATGCGCTGCCAGCTGCCGCTGCGCTGTGGCAGTGGAAAGACATGGCCAAGCCGAAAGTCTTCAGGGTTGTTCCAGTGGGGGGTTGGTATGTTTTGAGTCAATCCACCTGAAACATCCTGAAACAATACCTCTCAATTAAGGGGATGCTGATTCGAGGATCCCAAGAATTGGAGGTTGCCAGCCGCGGAAAAAAACCCTCGCAAGGCCATCTATTGCGGGACGTAGGAAGACACCAGCATTCTTCCATTACTCTCGATTCATCGCCGTAGTATCAATATATAATACTAAGGAACCACCAGTTGGAGCTGCTTCCAATCTTCTTCACCCTGCTTGGTTTGTGACTTCAACAGTTCTGCAGACTTGGGTCTGTATCTATTCTATTCTATTCTCAGTCTCACAGGTGTCCCCTGCGAGCATCCTTGGTATGCGCAGTGAGGCACCAGGTAACGTGCAAGACATCTTGCGCATGGTCAAATTGGTCTCTGTTTTGAAGGGTCATCTGAGCAAAACCCTTCCACTCAATTTCCCTGTATCACTCTGACTCTGTATCGCTCCTTTTTGGGCAATGGCACTTGCCAGCCGAAAAGCTGAAAATTTGGTCGTCTCAGCCCTGTACATTGCTCGCCCCATTTAGCTGAAAAGATGACCAGTTCAGAAGCCCATCTCAGGGCAAGCAACCTGGGCAGTCTTTGTTGCACTTAACACTCGGCCAGCGCACGAAAAGAAGCATCACAATGTGATAGACTAGTAGAATCTAGCAATCTAGTAGACATCCAAAAAAGAAATACATCAGCAGCTGCGGTTGAACATGATTTAAGCCCTGTGCAGTGCATCTGCATGTCACTAAGCTCCAGTCCTTCTGAATTGTCCCTTGACTCACCAGCAACTTCTTCAAGCTGTGGTACTTCTGCGCATCAACCATCACTTGCTGACTCACACACGTGTGCACATGATCGTTTGGTATGACAGTGGTATAGTCGTTGTCAATCTTGAGACTTCAGCATCAGCCTAGTCCTGGCCAAGCCATATCGTTCATGACCCTGCCTGGGAGTACTTCTCGAGCATGTCATCATGGAATTGGTGGTAGATCTGCCGAAGAAAAAAAAGACACATGGAATGAATCGTGGATTCGGCCACAAAATCCGAAATCCCGTGGATTCGGCCACAGTCCTTTTAAGCACCAGTCTCACCGTCTCACCTCCCCGAAGTCGGCCGCGGCGACCTTTCGGGATCCATCCGTCCGCTCCCACCTCAGCCTGGTGAAAGGGAAACTCGTTGGAATCATAGACCTCAGCAGCCCCAGGCTCCGCCCCGGTCCGGATCTGGGATCCCAGCCGATGGAGCGCCTCAAGACATTTCGGCCTACCGCCCAGTTTGGACCGCCTCAAAAAGGGAAAAATAGACCTGTAGGAGGAAGACACACCCGGCATCGGCAGACGTGGAACACGACATCGGCGGCTCAGGATGCATCGGCGGCACCCAGACTTTCTTGCTTCCCACGGTGTCGGCGTCATTGCCCTGGACGAGATGGTCATCGGAGGGAAAATGCATGATGCCCCCCAAAAAGTCAGAATCTACCCTTGTTGAAGGTTCAAAACAATGGTCATCAGTAGCAGCTAGCACGCATTGTTCAATGGCTTCACAGCAACTTGCAGGAATGGCAACGGTCTCCTTTGCGACACCAAACCGCGTCACATCCGAGAAAAACGGTCCGCGTCACATCCGAGTCCAATTTCCGCGTCACAACCGAGGCCCTTTCCTGCAGGAATGATATATACACATTCACGTCCACGTTGGTCATGTTCATCCAGGACTAAGAGTACTTTGGACCACAGTAAACAAGGATTCATCCCAATTCCACCCATTAAGGAGCACGTTCCTGCTGTGCTCAAGCTTACAAGTGCCCCTCATGATCCGCTCAACACCCGCCGGGCACCTGTCCACGGAGGAGCTCCATGCGGCCTCCATTCGCAGCCTCCAGCGCCTTGAAGTAAGGCCCATCGATGCCACCTGAGCTGAGCGGTTCAAACGATGTCCTCATTCACGCAGACACATCCATTGGAGGAAGACTCAGGCGGTAGAGGTATATTGTTCATCTCAAGGCATGGATGTCTGAGGAGCGGCCCAAGAGGCTAAGGCTTCGCCACCAAAAGCGGCCAGCGTTCCTTTTTTGGCGGACACTGCACGGAGGCTGCACCCAGCTGGACATGAAGTCCTCTCATATTCTGTAATGTTCTTCTGTTGTCAATGAAATTGAAGGCAACGGCAGACAGCATCGGATGGCGACAACATGCACAGGTGAGACGTGAGACTTGGCTGCATAACAGCTGCATAGCGCCATAAGCTTGTGGGTGATCACCCCTAGGAATCAAAGGTGGGATGGAGTAGGTAGACAGTCAATCGGCTCAAGCGTGTCACGTGCCCTGTTCACGGTATCGGAGTAATCCAAGGATTTGTTGTGGCCGGTTCATCTCGCCAAGGGTCTTGGAAGGCATCTCCACCGGATATACAGCTTCATCTCACATCCGCACCAATGATCCAAGCGCCATCTACGCCCCACCTCTTTGCTTGAAACCTGATTGACCTGATTCCATCGAATTTCGTCCAGGAGACTTCTATGGAACATTCGAAAATCAGCATCCACCGAACGCCACCGAGTTCGCCAAACTCGTGAGGGGTCGCACTCGTTCCGCCTCACCGGCATCACTCGCCCAGGTTGGGGCTCTCCGAGTGCATGGCCCAAACATCCTCGAAGTCCAGGCGCAACTGCTCCGCCTTCTGCAGCTCGTCGTGGCTCAGCAAGATCACCGCCACCCCGGCCTGAACGAAAGAACAGCGGCATGGCCAGAACGGCTTGGAAACAAAACGGCATTGTGCGGAGGGGAGGGCCAGAACAGGATCCTTCCTCTGTTGAGGGACCAGATCTTCATGTCGGTCATGCAAACCTGTCGCACGTTTTCATGTCCCAAATACTTCAGACCTACTGTATCACTGTATCACGTAATAACCAAAAAGCCAAGGCTGTGCGCAGGCAGAGCCGTTTCTGGTCAAAGACTTCATTCCTTCGCGCAGCTTCGGAGCCCTCCGGGCCCCAGAGGGGGTTAAGGCCCAATATGAGGAACGGATCTGCCAAGGCACTGACTTGATGCCCTTCACCAGTTCACCCCAGAGCCGCTGCTCCAACTCATTGGGCGCCTGTGGCACAGCCAACTCATTGCACTCGCGCGAAGCAGAGGCACGAAGCAGGGGCAGAAGCAGCAGCAAGGTAGAAAGGGCATCATTGGGGGGATGGCATCAGCTATGGTAAAATACATGCTATCAGCCTAACCACGAAAATCAAGAGTAGACTCTATGGGCCTTCAAACAATCCAAATTCCTGGCCAAGCTTGCCTCCAATTGCTGAGCCTTGGCTGCTGGAAGCCATTTGCCTTCTAAGGCAGCCTGAGGCTCGGCCGCAGAGTGGCGCCAAAGCGGGCGACGGACTGTGAAGTCGAGTCACTGTCCGTTGAATCAGAGAAAATCCAACGCCTGCTGGTCTTCTGGTTCCGGAACAATATAGAGAAGATTTTCTGGGTCAAGCTTCTACAGCCGCGTGGATGTCAAACATGGTGGCCAGTGCGGTGTCCTTGCCCCAAGGTTGCAACCACAACACACTCAGAGTCCCAGAAGGCTGAACTGAAAGGCTACAGCCTTGCTTCATCTTACCCGAACGACAGCATTCGCACCTCTAAAAACCATGACAAGTCGTTCCCAGCACTGTCCGGGCACTGGGAGCGAGCAGACTTCCCCCGTGTCAGCCCCATCATTTACTTGGGAACAGGTATCCTCCCAGCAGTCCCAGCATCACTGCCACCTTCTCCCAGCTCCAGAGTCAAGAAACCCACACGGTTTCACTCACCGTTTCACTCACCAGTCTCCCGGTCTCCATTTGATACTCACCGTTTCACCTCATCCCCAGTACAGTCCTCCCTCACGCCTCCGCACTGGCATTCGCCACCACTTTCACTTGCTCCTGGAAGCGCTCCAGGGTCTCCGCCTGGATCGCCTGGCTTCATTAAGCAACGAATGCGTCAACGAAGCAGGGAGTGCCCATGGTGACCAGATTCTCCACTGGTAGAAGGACAACTAGACCAAATCCATCCAATGCGCTGGATTTGTGCCGAAGCCTTTTTGAGTGGACTCCTGCAATTTACAGTACGTCATGTGGCGGTTTTCTGCCACAAGCTTACTCTTCAACCTGGATCAAACACCAAGGTTGGGAGTCCACACTATTTGCAAACGGCCTGATGATCACAATTCATGATGCTTCTTTTGACCACTGCAATATGTGAAGAATTTCAAACCGAACCTTCACCAACCCGGAACCAACCCATGGTTTGGAAAGGTTCACCTTGCTGCCATGTCAGGGCTCCCTAGTTATCTTTCTCTTGGGGGGGTGTTGGACCTCACTACCCATGTTTTGCTTCAAACACCTGCCAGGTTTCATGTATCAACATGTATATAAATACGTATACCGTGATTACTGTATATAAATACAATTCACTCTTTTACATGTCACACACCCCAATACACCCCTCCCAAAGCAGTGTTCAAACGCTTGGCACTGGCCCCCTCGCCGCCACTTGCAGGCCTCGGCCTTTCCGATGCGCGCCACATGCTCGGCGCTGCGCCGCAGATCCTCCTCACCTTGGCGCTGCCGCTTCTGCCGCAGCCCATCGGAGCCGCCTGCGAGCGAGGTGAGAAAGTCCCAAAAACCGATGGACGCAGCCTCGGATGCCCAAGTTTTTTGAGGGGATTTAGGGGGTTCATATGGGTTTATGCTGAACCTTCTCCACATAAAACCCTGTTATCTTTGTTTTTGCTCTGTTTTTGCTGAGCCTGGGATCTGAAGAATCGCCACAAAAACGCAGACAGACTTGCTACACATCATCCCACAAAGAATTTCCAGCTAAACCTTCAAGTGTGTTCCCTCCTTAAAAAAAGTTACCCAAATCAAAAATAAGATCTACAGCTTGAGTTTGAGTTCTTCAGTTTCTCAGCTGTCAGGAGAAACACCTCTCTGCAGAAAGGAACAAACACAAAAGCTACGAGTACCATCCAAGTGCACAGTGCCCCACCAGGGTAGCCTCAAAGTAGCCTCAGGGTAGGCTACCCTGGCAGGCCCTCGCATGCCCTGGCCTCCAGCCGTTGCAAGGCGCGCATTCACCGCCGCCCATATGTCATTCCAGGCAAGCCATTTCAAGTCAGCAGAGACTTCTCGTGGGAGTTTAGAGAAAGGCATCGCCCGACGTCGGCGACTCGAAGAGTCAGCACGAACAGCGCAGTGGAGTTGACTCGCGCGGCCGGAAAGAGATAATTGCACATCCAACGTCACTACTATAGATGGCAGCTTTGGGGGAAATCCTGACTGGTGCTTAGGAATGAGAGAATGGATCCACAAAGTATATCTATAATGTTTGCCTGGAAAATCCCAATGTAATCACTTGAGGTTCGCATGTCGTGCACGGCTTTCAAAAAGAATTGGATAACAACAACCTGTCTGTTGCCCAGATGGTTTGGGAGAACCTCACACCCTATAATTATTCATTTTCCTAAAGGATGCACGTCTCCCAAAATGGAGAGAGCCCCCCAAAAGGGTCTTTGTTTGTTCTTCCTACTACCTGCGAGTATAGTTCTATATTTCAGGATCTTCAGGTCTGCCCAAAGGATCGCGGTAGAGGGTCTGCTTTGTGCCATATTACGTCTCAAAAGCTTCTCTTCGAGCCAGAAATGCCACATCTTGATTGAAGTCCGACACCTCCGTGGGTGTCAACACCAGAGGTGTGAGGTATTCCATACCTTGGTTCTTGGGCTCTCAAAGAAACAGGGAACCTTGTGCTGCAATATACTTCTATATTGATCTTAGGTATCAAGCGTGGCTTTATTGCCATTGGTGTCACTCTTCCCTAACCTTCTGTCCAGCTCACAGCTTTGGAGTATCACCCAGAAGGGTTGGTGTCTTCTCAACTGTTGTGCGGTCTTGTGGCCATGCCAGAAACAAAATGAGCCAACTGAGGATGTGGCCTGGAATACCAATGGCAGATCGATACTCAGTCCCTCTGTCCTGTTCAGGACAAGCGCAACGATTCTGACTGAGTACACATTGCTCTTGTTCGCCGGTTTACCGTCGACTGATTCATAGAGTGACTGAAAAAGAGTACACATATCATCTTTTTTCAGCCAGCCTAGTGAAAACCGAAAGCAAAGGAGAATCGCCGTACCCGAGCTGGTTGAAAGGGAGTTGGGGCAGGTGACACGTGTCGTTTGAAACTGAAGGACACGAGAGTCTTCTTGTTGCCGATTCATCAAACGCATTCAAACGCGCTTTAAGATAGGTCACCAAGATAGCAGCGATCTCCACCATATCTTGGCAGAAAGGAAACTAAGCTAGTTGGCCAACTGTCAGGTTTTACGGGTACGAGTCAACCTTCGTGCTGGACGAAAAGGCCGGCTAGTTGATCGTCGTTCGCACCTCCTGAGGGTCTTCAACAACTCTTGGACGGTTTGATCCACACCGGATTCTTGCCCGCGGCGGAATCGGATGTATTACATAGCGTAGTTGTACAGTGTACAGGTGTTTCACCAGCAAGAGGAACCGGTCGGCATATCACGGCGTGATCGTCGACGATCACAGCGGTCACCGGTCGGACGGCGCCTGTGGATCGGCACGGCCGAAGGGGTACTTCACTGCTGCGTCAAAGTAGGTCTGGGAGGGCAACGGGGTGGGGGCCGCGTTTTGGAAGGCAAAGGTGGATGGGAAAAATGGGATGAAATTGAACAAAGGTCCATCTGCCTGTCCGACATTAAAAGAGAGGTCTCACTAGTCCAGTTTAGAGCTTGTAGACGCCACTCAAGAGTATTCTTCTCAAGTCCTTCCTAAAAGAAAGACTGTGAACATCCCCCAGCCAATTTGCCAGAGCCACTCACTGTTGTACTCATGAATGAGTGCACCGCTGTCCAGCGCGGACCGCTGGGCCTTGGCGAAGTCGCCGACCTTCTCCTCGGGCACGTTCACGTTCACCACCTGCGCTGTGACTAGACCAGATCCGACGGTACCGGGTAGCCGTGGTTTGGCAAAGAAAGGAAGACGAGGAGAAACATGCGTTGATACTGGCGGTGGCACCGAAAGAAGGGTCGTATGAGTGCCTGAAGTAAGTCCTCGAGAGTCAGTAGAGAGGCTATCCATGAAGCAAACATGATGATGCTGATTGGCTGCATCCCCCTCCCGGCCCTCGGCCTCAGTGTGGCCCATTCGCCCATAGTCAGGAGCCATGGCCATGTTGTGGTAGCAAACTTCTCCGTTACCGCCCACCTGAGATCGGTACTGCCCAAATCATGTTTGGTCTAGAGGATTGGAGAGGGAGGTCCAGAGGACGGGCAAAGAGAATGATTGAGCCCGTATAAGACCAGTGTCCTCCATACCATCGTCGCGGATCAGACCGTCCGATGCAGTTTCACCTATGGCCCATGTAGATTTGTATCTCAGTGACGTCCCAATGAAAGGACACGTCACATTGGAGACTGCGCCGAGAGAAACATAGACTATATATATAAAATCTATAAGACTTGACCCCCGTCACGCCAGATGACCACCTGATCTTTTCGATTGATGTGCAAGATCCTGCACCTCAACTGAGCGAACCCCCCACAACTACCAAGGACCAAACTGACCAAACCGGAAAATGGTGATCCCTCTTCCGGATCAACATATGTCCGCATTCCATGGCCATCTTCTCCGGACAACAAGGCGTCTGTTCGCTTCGACACCACTTTGCGCCTCCATCGACCCCCAACCCACGCGCCGTCCGGACCGGCGAAGCCTCCGCGTGGACCCGCGACGGGAGCGATCCTCGGGGTCGCCTCCTTTCCACCGGCATAGCCTGACAGCGCCGAGACCTGTTCCGGCTGACGTGAGAGGTCCGCGGCCTGGCAGATCCGAGGAGAACTCCGACGCGTCCTCCAACCGAACAAGAAGCATCACCGGGGTTTGGTGTCGATCCAGTGGGGCTTGGTTTGAAGTGGCCCTAGGAACTTGGGGCAGGCAAATCGCAGGCTTGATTCGGAGGGATCCTTGGGGCAGTCCAGTTGTCACCGTGCGTTTTCCCGAGGGGAGTTGTCACCTCTAGTGTGGTGCAGAATCCAGAGGTCCAGAACCCAGTCTGTTGATTGCCCGCTTTTTTCAGGGGTCGTCAACAAAGTTACTCGAAGAACCGATCAGTCAGTGGATGTCAGGGGAGATGGAGCTCATTTGCTTTTATTTTGAACTGTTTGTTGACGTGGAGCATTGGATGTTTCTTATTTGCGGATGCGAGCATGTATCTCTCCCCAAATGCTACATGTGGCTAAAATGGGCTGTAGTCCAATACTGTAGGTACCCAATGGTACAGACCATTCAGAGGTACCTCTCCCTCAGACCTTTTTCGTCGACCCCCCCCAAGTTGGTGGGATCAAATGGGCATGGCTTGGCCTACTACAGTCGTGGGCGGAGGATCTTTCGGCATGTGTTTCCTTTGTATAGTGTTGGACTGTCTTTCGGCATGGTTTGAACATCTTCAAACACTGCAAATGTCCATATCCGCACAAGTGGTTTCTTGAAACGGCTAAAGACAGCAACGGCAAACAATGAAGAAACGTTGTGAAACAATGAAAACATCCATTAAACAGCAAAAAAGAACCTTAGCATCGAACTCGAAGAACACCTGGGAATTGAACCAAATTGACCTGTGAAAGCAACGAATCTCGCCTCCTGCTTCACGACCTCATGCTGGACATGCCAGAAGCAGCCCTGCACAAAGGTGTGCCGTCATGCAATCAACTCGGATTCATCCTGCAATCGCATCGCCCTAGAGCTCCAACTACCTCCGTTTCGGTTCGGTGGTTGGGGTGGGTGCCAGGGCGGTCGAACTACTGGATTGGAGCCCGACTGAGTAGAGCAGTTCTCAAAGTTAGTGCAACATCGGACGGCACAAATTGAGTCCAACCAATCGACCGCGTCAGACTGGTTACTTGAGGAATCAGCTGTAAGGCTGTACCTGACACCTCTTCTGACTCCAAATGCTCGAATGAGGATGATTTCAACCTTTTCCCAGAAGTCTGGTGGGGGAGTAGAAGCCTGTCCCACATCACCCACCCACGTCCATTCCGTAGGACGCAACTCCCTCACTGCTCACCTGTCCCATGTAGATGTTCACATCGGCCGCAGAGGCTGCACGGGGGGGAGGACACTACAGCCATGAAGACCGCTGCAGCAGCAAGGAGCGTACCTCTTGGGCTGAAGGAAAACCAACAACCAGGCATTGGAGCTTGAGACGGAGGCAATCCACGCGCCTACATGGTATTTTCACCCAGAATGCTTGATCTGATCAACAGCTGTCAATACAGCTGCAACCCCCAATTCGTCCGGATGCTATTGCCCGAACATCTAACTCTTGTAAACACAAGCCTATGTCGTGAATGTGAGCTTTTGCACATATAGATTATATCCATTCACATTCAGCTGTTCTTCGTGCAATGCCAGCTCAGTCACGTTCTTCGTCTTCTGACCACTCCTGCGCATAGGTTGCAAAGGTCTTCATTGGCAGGTAGACACTTTCCCCTTGCTGTTCGCTCTCCTGGACCTTTTTGATGACCCAATCTGCATAGGCAGGGAAATTGTTCATGACCCACTCTCGGCTCTCCTCCCTGTGCTTTCCAAAGCCCATGCGCCTACTACCTTGGTCTGTCAGCTCTGGGTTGTGCTCGATGAGCCATTCGGCAATTTTCCCCAAGGCTGGAGTGGCTTCTCCTGAGTGGTAGGTATCCACGATCCAGATGCAGTAGTCTGGATCCTTGTCAAGCACATCTGATGCCATTTCACCCTTGTGCTTGCCAAACGTCACCTCTGGCTCCAGCGACTGCGGCTTCGTCTTCGTCATCGAGAAAGCCAAGAACTGCCATCCCGCCACCAGAAGGAGACCACAATGGGCAGCACGAGAGCGGCGCATCATAGTGTTGTCTATTCTTGTGCCTGACTTGGACACGCCTGGAGCTGAAAGACCCTTGAACCAAATACGTGTGTGTGTGTGTGTGCGCATGTCAATGTCGAGCCTTCAAATTCTATATTATATGCAGGCAAATCAACCAACACACACACAAGAGACAGAGAGACACCTGTCACGACTTCGTTTTGAATGCCTTCGTATGTTTTCAGCTCTAGATTAGATTGTGGATGTCCAGCCCCAAAAGTGATTAAAGCTTCCTCCATGACCAACCTGTCCACAGCTCGCACGGGCCCATGCCGGCATGCTGGAACTATCAGCCTCCTTCATCTCTGCACCTGCAGTTGGTCGTAGATCCACAGCCGTCGATCTTGTTTCAGGTGAAAAAAGAAATCTGATGCGGTGCGCACGCAGTGCTCATGCAGTGCTTGCAGTCTGTGATTCTGTTCCTGCCATCCCGCAGCTGCTTTCATGAAATTGGTGTGAGTGCCCCTCCGACCTCTGAGCGAAGACTGGGGAACCTGGCACGCCATCCAAAAGCAGGTCTGGACCAAGCCTGTTTCGGACAGGAGCCCCAAAATGGGGAAGAGGAAACAAACATCCAAGACCCGCACTTCTACAATGTTGCAAGGGGCCCAGAACGGAAAGTCTCATCCGTTGGTGCTTTTTTGGCGATGGTGGTTAGGAAAGGTTAGAAGGCTTCCTGGGAGGTGCTCCGCACTTTAGACATAGCAGTAGCCACGACAACAGAGGCTAGTCAATCCCCATCAAACGGCCACAACACCAGAATGCAGGAACATTGCGTGATGCAAGAAATGCTGCTCACTTTCGTGGTCCGTCTGCCGTCCCGATCACTTATATTTGTGTGGTATTACCGGGGCGGGGCGCGGGTAGGTCGTGGAACGTATGAACCACTCCAAGTGATTCCAAGTGGAGAAGACACTCCAGATCAAATAGATCAATATATATATATATATAGTTGTAAACATGAAGCTTGTATGCAAAGGTCATCGGAACGCTGTCCCTATGGCAGCTTGAAGCTTAGAGGTTCCTGACCACATTCGGTCTCCCCACTCCTGTCCTCTACCTGGACTCACACACCTAGTCAGCCGGTCGCGTCGACCCTGCATCCGTGTCACCTATAGGGTGTGACATAGAAATCTCAAACCAATGTACTAAGCAAGGTACTAGCAACGGTCTCCGGAAATCATAGCATTCGTCGCAGACTGGTACGAGGCATACAATAAACTGCCTTTGGACTAGCCATATGTGCTACTCTCGGGTAGTAATGATGCTCGTGATGCAATACCTCCGTCACTGAAAAAATTTGTATCCTTTTCTCCCGTCTCCTCCCCACACCCCCTAATTATGAACTTCGTTCGCAGCACCAACTTCATCCAACTTCAGCCTAGCCTATCGGCTGGCTTTCGGAACAAAGCATACCACCACTACGAAATAAATAAAGCAATTGAGGAGCCGTCAACTCATGTCAAATCATGTCAAACTCCGCATCACCACCAGCTTTTTGAGTCACCGGACCTGGGCATCATGTCTCGTCGCCGAGGTCTGAGACACGCGAGGTTCCAGCTCAGTCAGCTCGGTCAGCTCGGCGGGTGCCATCCAGGCCTCGGTCAACAGCTCGCGGGATCTGAACACCGAGAAGAAGCGGGAAAAGTCACCTGGTCACAGAGAGCAGAAAGGCGGGACATGTTGGGAGAACAGAGCAGGTCAGAGCAGGTCACCGAAACGAAAGAAGCACAGATTAGGACTCTGAAAAAGAAGAGTCACAAAGATTTTGTAGATGTGAGCAGCTCTCTTCATATTGGTCTTCTCTGATCCTGCGCTGCGCAATTTGGTAAGAGGATGTCTTTGAGACTGCAAGCATCACTAAGCACTTGCAGGTGACAGTGGGGTGTGGTGCGTCCTGGATGGTGTACTGGGTTCACCTCTGGCTTTAGGAATGTAGCTTTGGTATCACTACAAGTAGGATCCCCGAAGCTGATGCGTTCGCTTCACCGACACCGACAGATCCGATCCGCCGCATGCTCAGCTCATCACATGGGCAACGGCTGGGAGAGTCAGCACCAGGACTTTCGGCCACAGCATCCTAACATCCGAAATCGGTCGCGGCCCCCGGTCCATCCCGGTCTGGTCCCTCACCTGGTTTCTCCACACGAGGTCTGGACATGGGTCAGGTCAGTTTTCCCATGTCCACATGGAAGCCTTGATAGGTCTTTGTCTGATCCTGAAGCAACTTCACTAAGCCATGTTCCAAGGGGAGACCACAGTTAACCCAATGAATGGAAAAGAGACTTGCATGAAGCCTGAAACCCTTGAAAAAAGGGATGCCGTCCAAAAACTAATGGTCGTGAAGTTACAAGTGAATGGTCTGAAGTGCTTGTAAATATGCACAAACACTCTTCTAACATCATTGTGACTCTCCGAGAGGTTGTTATTGGGAGGCTACTCAGCAACCTCTCCTTCAAGTGCTTCAAACTCTGCAAAACACCATGTAACAAGGTAAAACCCCTCTCCTTCTTGGAAGCCTTGGAGATTCTCTCTGGCAACTTGGGCTGAGTACGGCTGCAGACTTCACGTGCGCAAGTTACAGCCCAAAATGAATGCATACCCACCATTCTCTTGAACTGTGCGTTCCAATCATTCAATTGAGCTATGTGAGAGCATCGTATACAACTGGGTGTGGCGAAATACTGTTCGGAAAGAGTGTGACCAATGGCTCAAACAAAGAGGCCTCTGTAAGTCTACAGTTGAGGGCTCCGCTGAGCCACTTTTTTTGCATCGCGATCCACAAATCGGCCAGTTGTGTCTCTCTGCAAGCCGGACTACTGTAGATTAGAATGGGGCACCGGTCACCAGTCTCCTTCATTGAGATGGAATTCATTGCACCTTCAGCATGTTTCGCAAGGAAAGCAATCTGGAAGGTTGAAGAGAATGCGGTGCCAGCATTCCAACCGAGCATCGGCGAATTCCAAAGCTCCCCCGCGCCAACTCCATCCCCGCGTAAAGGCCAGGCTCGGAGCTCTGGGCAGCCACTCTTTGGGAAGATCTTGAAAACATGTCACACATGTGAAGGGTCCTTTGATTAATTCTTTGCTTTACTATGTCTTTGAATGCTCTTCATACCAGTTACGACAGAACATCTCGCCGGCATAATCTCACCACCTCACTCTGGGTGCTACGGCGGAAGCCCTGCACACGCTTGCGTGAAACTCATGAGCAGCTGTCGCGTTACTGCAAAATGGTGATTGGATAGTACCATCTCGCTCCCATCAACCGAACGCATCTCACGACACTTGAGGAGGAACCAGCTATGTACAGTAGTGCTTTCGCTTCATTGGCCCGTTCAGGTTAGTGGGAGCGAATCACGAAAAGAATCTCTCCATTGTTTCGTCCCCAAGTCCATCGTTTCGTCGATCTCCCGCAGTCTCAGAGCCACGAGCCAGCAAACACACAAGCCACGAGTCGCAAACCCAGACATTTTCAACTCAGGATGGGCAAGCCACACATGAGACGAAATGCCAACCCAATGCGATCCAATCGGATTGTTTGCTTAATTGTGAAAAACCAGCAAATGGCCTCCGTATACATAGGCGCGCC